ATGCGAGTTGCACCTGCCCAGGATCTGGGCGTGCGCGAGCGCCTGCATTTTCCAGCCTCTCCGCACACTTTCGCCACCCACCCCAGCCCACGAGCAGCGCTGCGACAGTCCGACGTGGAGCCTTCCACAGAGGACTCACCTGCTGTCCCCTGCCAGCGGCTGACAACCGCAGGGTGGCGCCCGGCTCGCCTCCGCGCCCGTGCCTGGCGCCTCAGGGCTCTACTGGAGTCCGCCGAGCGCCGCGCGCCTCCACGCGAATGGGCTGCCGCTGCCCGCCTTCTTGTTGGTCGCATCCCCGCCCCGCGCCCGCCCCGCGCCGGGCCGGCCCAGCCCGGCAAGAAAGCCTTAATTGGTAAAATCACCCAGAAGCCGGGGGCGGTGCGGGGGGCGCGCCGTGAGCTCCAGAGCCCTGTTGCCCCTGGCGACGCCCACCCCCCCAACCCCCCCACCGGGATGAGCTCACCGCCCCGCTAGGGCCGCCAGGCCCTGGGGCCGGGGGGGAGGGGGCTCACCTTCAGCGTCCGCAGGGCCTGCAGAGCTCTTCTCTAGGCCCAACTTCAACGAGGCTGGAAGGCTGAGTTTAGGGGGATCCAAGCACTCCCCTACTGAATAGGCCCAGCTCCAAGGCCACCTTCTCCAGAGAACCAACCAGTCAAGTCCTCTGTCTCTGCCCCAAACCTTGGCTGGCCACACAAGTCAGATCCTGCCCCCTAGGTGAGGGGCATCAGTAAGTATTCACTGAGCCTCTACCATGCTCCAGGCTCCAGTTTGGTGGACTACAGGGCACTGAGCCCTATGATGAGCAAGCCTCACTGGTTTGGCCCCTGCTGAGTACAGGCCTGACCTAGGAGCAAGCAGCACAGATGCACTGAATTCCTAATGCAATATGGTGCAGTCCCAAAGCCTGGAAGTGTGCAGTGGGGTGCAGCCAAGTGTCTGTGAACCTGGTGGGCACAGCCACACCCTAGCATTGCCAGGCTTCCTCTTCCTCTTCTACATGCCTGTTTCCTGGTAGCTTCAGATTCAGCTCAAATGTCACTTCCTAGGGGGAGGCCACAAAAACAATGTCATTTCGACATTTTGTCTGCAACAATCAATAGGAGCTACATTTTACATTCCTGAGCCAGTATACATACCTTCACACACATACACACATGTATGATTGAAACAAACATTTCATAAAATGAGACTTTCCCTTAGTATCTGCAGTGTACTCTATTTTCTATTCTATTTTATGAAAAAAAAATGAAACAAAGGAAGAGAAGAGGGCTGGGGATGTGGCTCAAGCGGTAGCGCGCTCGCCTGGCATGCGTGCGGCCCGGGTTCGATCCTCAGCACCACATACCAACAAAGACGTTGTGTCCGCTGAGAACTAAAAAATAAATATTAAAAATTCTCTCTCTCTCTCTCTCTCTCTCTCTCTCTCCTCTCTCTCTCTCTAAAAAAACAAAGGAAGAGAAGGAAAAAATAGGAAAGAAGAAAGGAAAGAGTTTGGTTACATCTGCTAAGTGAATCTTGTTTCACACAAACAGCAAGGTGCTGGTCGCCTTCCAGGCTTTCCCCATCTGCTGCTGCCTTTACTAGCTGTGCTGTCAATGACATTTCACACCTTGACTCATTATGGGAGCCTCCCAACAGTGCCAGGTTCTCTAGCTGCTACCTACAGTGGAAGCCCCCACTGGGAAGGCCAGTGGATTAACTTCACTTACTAAACAAGGAGGCTGAGCTCAGGCCCCTGAGGTAGCTGCTATGGAGTTCAAGGCTGTCCTTCGAGGAGGAAAACCCACCTATCCAGAGGCATGGCAATCAGAGCCAGGGGTAGAATAGATGGGGGGAGTGCAAAAGAAGTGGTGGCTGTATGGTGAGTCTCAGGACCCCCATTACACTACCCTCTTTATACTACCCTCCCCACACTGTACATGCTCTAAACACAAGCAGTTCTTTGCCTCAACTTCTTCCAGGTGTTAGGGGCACAAAGGTTCATATAGCACCAACTGTTTCCTGGTGAAGTTCATAATAAACTAAAAACATTTTCTCCTTGTGTTGAAGAAATGTTTTCATGTAGACTTTTTTCCCCTAAAACTAGAAATCTTCTTGGGATTGCAAGTTATACAACATACTGATTAAAAGTCATTTCCATGCTTAAAAGAAAAATTGTCTGCTTATTTTGACTTAGCATCTGCTGAACCCCAATGTCTACTCTCCATGCCCTTCCTAGGAAGAACTCCCCACAGGCACTTAGAATGCCTTTACATATCCTTCCAGCCTCTTTGATAACTTCTGCCTGAGAGAAGTCTGAGACTAGGCCAGGTCAATGCCCAGATGACCATGGGGAAAATGTTTTCATGAATGAATTGCTGCATTCAGGGCCCTTGGGCAAGACTCCCCTTACCCCAGGATCCTGATAAATTCTCTTTATGATGGGTGATACAGCCCATTAGCTATGTTGATCAAGGGCTTGCCTGGCTTCTAGTGGTCTGGAATGGAGCTGCACTGCCCTGGGGCTAGACTTAGGCCCCAGGTACCTACAGGGTGGGTACAGGGGGACCATCACAGTTCAGCTTCCTGATGCCATCTGTGATGGGACCTCATGCTGGGGCAATGGGGGGCATACAAAGCACAGTGCTGAGGCAGGTGTGGGGGGGTGTTCCTTAGGGAAAAAGCAAACCTAGAATTCCTTGACCTCATAAGGAAACAGCTTGAATCTGTATGGGGAGGGTGGCAGGGGGAGGACTGAGCAAGCACTTGTATGCACAGATCTCTGGGAGAGAGGCCAGAACTGCAGAAGAAGGCTTGGAGACTTGCTGGGGAATCTGATTTTGCCAAAACTAAAAAATCCATGCTGCTGAATGGCCCAGAGCTTACTCTGCCACCCACCCCCCACCCCCAGTCCCAGCCTCTGCTTTGAAAAAAAAGAAGCAGGCTTGCCAGGCTCGGTGTACACCATGCCTGTAGCCTATAATTCCAGCAGCTCTGGAGACTGAAGCAGGAGGACTTCGAGTTCAAAAAGGCCAGCCCCAGGGCTAGGGTTGTGGATCAATGGTGGAGCACATGCCCAGCATGTGTGAGGCACTGGGTTTGATCCTCAGCACCACATAAAAAATACATAAATAAAACAAAGGTATTGTGTCCATCTACAACTAAAAAAAAAAAAAAAGCCAGCCTCAGCAACTTAGTGAGGACTTAAACAACCTAGCAAGACTGTATCTCAAAATTAAAAAATTAAAAGGGCTAGGGATGTGGCTCAGTGGTTAAGTGCCCCTGGGTTCAGTCCCTAGCACCAAAAGAGAGAGAGAGAGAGAGAGAGAGAGAGAGAGAGAGAGAGGGAGAGAGAAGAGGAAAGAGAGGAGAGGGAGGAGAGGGAGGAGAGGGAGAGGGAGAGAGAGGGAGAGGGAGAGGGAGAGGGAGAGAGAGAGAGAGAGAGAGAAAGAGAGGAGAGAGAGAGAAGAGAGAAAAGAGGGAGAGGGAGAGAGAGAGAGAGGGAGAGGGAGAGAGAGAGAGAAAGAAAAAGGAGCTAAGGCTTTCCTATCTCTTAATGCCAGCACAGTGTCTTTGGGAACCCGTATACCTCCTCCCACATTGTAGGGGAGAGTAAGGCCTTGCCTTTCCTCTAAAATCAAGAGAAGAGCAATTCTTTTTCCTTAATGTCTTTGTGTTTGGTCAAAACAGAGCTCTCTCTCTCTTCAATACTTCCTGATTGTCCACCTCTACAAACCTCCATGGAAAATTGTCCTTTGACCCTCACCAGTTGGATCAGCCAGCTTGGACATGTCCAAAGCTCTCTTCTCTTCTTCCCCTGTCATCAGGCATCATCTAAGAGATCAGGCATCCTAAGCACGTCATCTCTTCATGCTCCCCGCAGCTCTATGTCTGCCCAGTGAGAGCACCCTAGATGGCCCCACACTCCATCAACAGGCTTTGTTTGTTATCGCCATCTTTCCATTTTCCACCAGACAGTTCTTTTCTGATTAAGGCCTTCTCCAACTGTTAGTTTAGGATTCTCAGCAAGTATTGGCAACTTTCCATGGTTTGCCACACCCCTGTGCCCTGCCTGGTCACCCCTGGTACCATCGGATTCAGGGGCCATTAGGCCAAGAGAGGCAACTGCCCCCAGGGCCCCAGGTGGACGTTATGGTGGTGTTAGGCGGGAACACGCTGTCTGCACGCATCACATGGCACCCTCTGCCCGTGCCCATTGGCACGCTTGGGCCCCTTCGAAGGCTGCTGCTCCTAGAGGGCTGGTGGCCTCCTGGCCCAGTGCCCCATTTCCTCCCGGGTGGAGCGGTGGAGCGAGAGAGCAGGCAGGGAGGTGGTGGGAACCAGCGGGCTCAGGTGCGCAGGCGAAGGCCTAGCAGATTGAGAGGGCCCGCCAGGGGCCAGGGATCTGCGAGGGGACTGCGTGGGGTCGCGGCCCTGCTAGGCAGCGGCTTTCTTGGCCTTGCTCACACAAAGCGCTCAGGCGTGCCCGGCGCTCACGAAGGGCTCACTCTTAACGTTGGGCACTTTCCACTGCTGCTGAGCAGGGTGCGGCCGGGTGACCCTAAGCCCTGCTGCGGGGGGGGGGGGGGGGGGGAAGACGACGACGACGACACGAGGACACGAGGTGAAGCCCTAGTGACAGGGATGAGAGCTACCGTAAATGCGAGAGTTCGCCCACTCCCACATCCCAGCCGGTTTCTGCTGGTTTGGGTAGCGCAAGTCTGCCCCGCTTAAGCGCCTAACCCAAACGCGCCAGCGCCCTACGTCTTGGCTGACTGCCAGCTCCCGCACTCCTGCCCCGCGAGCACAGCACCCGCCCTCACAGCTAGGTAGGTGTGGCTCCCTGCATGTCACGCCCTAGAGCCTCTTAGGCTCGCCTTCAGCCCCTGCCCCTCTTCTTGCTCTAGCCAATCCTGCACACTTTTGTGTTGTACGGGCTTGTAAGCTCCGCCCCCAGCGCGACGCCCCGCCGCGCCAGCTCCCACAGCCAGACCGGTCTGCACCGGTTGCTCGGGTGGTTAGGCCCCGCCCCTCGCAGCGCGCAGAGCTTGTGAGGCCCTCCGCCGTGACGTGACCGTGACGCAGGCGTGTAGCAAGCGCGGCCGCTCCCGAGGCGCTGGCGCTGCCCCTGCCCCTGCCCCGCTCTTAGGCAGCGGTTGCTTGGCCTGTGTAGTCAGGCCTGGGCAGCACCTAGGCCTTCACTACTCGTCTTCCGGTGCCGGCCGCGCCCGCCATGGACGACTACGCGGTTTTGTCGGACACCGAGCTGGCCGCAGTACTGCGCCAGTACAACATCCCGCACGGGCCCGTCGTGGGTACGCGGCGGCGGGTGGCGCGCGGGACCTCTCCCGGGACCCCGCGCTCCGCCTGGCGCCCCCACCGACCCCTTCCTTCCCCTCGGGTTCCCTCCCCACCTTCCTCCACCCCCCCGCGCTCTCCGCATGGCCTTCCCTGGGCTCACGCTCTGTGCCCCGCACTCCTGACCGCTCCACGCCCCGTGTCTGGCCAGGCTCCACTCGAAAGCTCTACGAAAAGAAAATCTTCGAGTATGAGACCCAGAGGCGGAGGCTCTCGCCTCCCAACTCGTCTTCCTCCTCATTCTCCTATCGGTTCTCGGGTGAGATCTCTGTCTCAGAGCCCTGCTGACTACTCCTGGGGACGGGACTTGGGCAACCGGGAGGACGGGGTCGTGAGACTGTGGCAGGGGCACTAGACTAGAGGGAGAAGGAAGGGAAGCCTGGGGGCAAATAGTCCTGTTCCCTTCTCAATTCAGACTTGGATTCAGCATCCATGGACTCGGATATGTATGATCTGCCCAAGAAAGAGGATGCCTTACTTTACCAAAGCAAGGGTAAGACGGGTGGGGCGAGTGCCTTGACACCTTCACCCCACCCTGTCTAGCACTCCTGAGTAACCCTAGAGGGGAGGAACTGGTGCAGGCCCCCAAATGGGGTTCAGATTAGGACCATCCGTACAGGTGGAGGACATCACTGCCTGCCTCTTCTATCACTGTTTCCCTTCCCAAGGCTATAATGATGACTACTATGAGGAGAGTTACTTGACCACCAGGACCTATGGAGAACCTGAGTCTCTGGGCACTTCCAAGGGCTTCCGCCAACCAGTAACTTCACTCTCAGATGCTGACACCTTCCACCACCAGGTGAGCTAGTTGTTAGGCACACCTTGGGTGCAGCCTGAGGTGATCATAACTGGGTGTGGACAAATCCAGGAAGCTGCTGGGTGCAAATGGGAGCTCCTAATCTTCCAGAGAGGGTAAGGGTTAGGGTCAGCCTACAGCTGTTTGTGCAAAGTACTGCTCTGGGGATGTGCAAACTATTAGAGCCAGGATGTGTAGTTCAGTGAAGAGCACTTGCTTAAGGTTCCATGCCCAGTACTCCAAATAAACAATAAAATGCATTTCATTAGAGCATATGAGGCATGACCTGCACCCTGGTCTGACTCTAGGTTTGAACTTTCTGAGAATCCTAGGGAACAAAGGAGGGCACTGTGGCACAGGCAGCTTGGATAGTCACTAAGTGGCAAGGCCTTGCACAGAAAAGGCAAGGAACCCCCAGTGGTTCTGGAGGAAGCAGGTGTCTGGCCTTGAAGTGATGGTCAGGAACGTTTAGACTAATGGATATGTCAGGGTCAGTCCCTGCCAGCCAGTGCCCTAACCCCAACTCTGTTCTGCAGGTGCGTGATGACAATCTTTTCTCTTCTTCTGAAGAGGAGGGCAAGGATAGGTGAGTACTGGGAAGGTCTAGAGACAGGAGCAGTCTCTAGACCGAGGCTCTCTTGGCCTACCTGCTCCCTTCTTTTGCTACAGGGAACGCCCTGTATATGGCCGGGACAGCACCTACCAGAGCATCGCACACTACCGTCCTGTTTCCAATGTCTCCAGGAGCTCCCTGGGTCTATCCTATTATCCTACAACCTCCACCTCTTCTGTGTCTTCATCTTCTTCTCCCACCCCTTCATGGCTTGCTCGCCGTGCCATCCGACCAGAAAAGCAGGCCCCTGTGGCTGATCTAGGCCAGGATAGACAGGTCCCACTCTGGGGCCAGCTGCTGCTTTTTCTTGTGTTTGCTGCCTTCCTGCTCTTTGTTTACTACTCCATGCAGGCCGAGGAAGGCAACCCCTTCTGGATGGATCCCTGAGTCTTGATTTCTAAGCCAGCTCTTCTTGGAAGTCCTGGCTGACTGCCTTAGCAGTGTTTGCTGGGGGTGGGGGTGGGGCTTTTCTGTGTGTTCTAGCTTGGGGGGTGTGGGGCCTAGCCCAGGGCAGTGTTTCCCCCCACCCCACCCCCTGCCTCATCCTGCCAGGGAGGCAGCAGACTTGGGCCCTCCACAGCTGATTAGGCCTGGGTGTGCCTTCCTCTGGAACCTTCTGGCCCTGCTTGCCTCTAATCCTTAGGGCCCAGGAGAGCAAGAGCTCATTCCTCCAGAGGAGAATAAAATTGTTGTCATGCATGCCTCCTGTTCATTGTCACCTTGTCAGGGAGATTAACCAAAGGCTTCCCTGACTGTTTTCGTGGATACATAATAAAAAGACTTGTTTATTTTTAACTTGTTGGTTTTTCCTACTGAGGGAGAAGTTGGGCTCCCATGACATAGGGGCTCTGGAACTTGGGTTTGAAGGATTGCTATCTGGCTTTGCCTGTTTGGTTCTGCATTTTTGTTTTGGGGAAGTGATCAAATGCTACCCATAGATATGTATGTTTGTGTTTTGTGGGTTTATTCCCTCATTTCCCAAATCACTTGTAACTACCTATAAAAGTGACAATCATCCAACGAACTACATGAGAACCCACTTGAAATGTGGGTAAAACTGCATGTATAACATGGTCCACAGGTGTTTTCAACAGGAAAAGCTGACACCAGACAACCTCAGCATCTGAGGGCCCAGGGATGGAAAGGTTGGTTGTGGGTCATTCCTCAGCTTCTGAGATTGTTGCTGCTTTAATGACAAGGTGGGGAAGCTCCAAAGACTGCAGTGTTCCCTCATCTGTGGATAATCAAATTCTTCACCTGTCTGTATTCCTACTTAGTTCCAAGGTTTTCTGTCCTTACTGTATATTTTATAATATCAACATTTACTTGTATTTTTATTTATTTTGGTACCAGGGATTGAACTCAGGAGCACTTAAGCACTGAGCCACATCCCCAGCTCTTTATTTTTTGATTCAGGATCTCACTAAGTTACTGAGGCTGGCTTTGAACTTGTGATCATCCTGCCTCAGCCTCCTGAACTGCTGGGGTTACAGGCATGTGCAACCACGTCCAGCTTACATGTATTTTTGAAAGGTGATAAACCAGGTGTGGTGGCATACGTCTGTAATCCCAGTGGCTCCAGAGGCTGTGGTAGAAGGATCATGAGTTCAAAGCCAGCCTCAGCAATTCAGTGAGACTGTCTCTAAATAAATTATAAAAAAAGGGCTGGGAATGTGGCTCAGTGGCTAAATGCCCCCAGGTTCAATCCCTGGTACCAAAAAAAAAAAAAAAAAGTAGTTGATAAAAACTCAGGATAGAATGCCATATCCATGTTATGCCTTGCATGTCTGGCTTCACACTGCCAGTAGAGGGCAGGAAAACAGAGGCCCAGCCAGGGATGGGGCCCATGCTTCAGTGATCTGTTCCTTTGCTGCAAATGGTGGGACTCAACCAGGCATAGTAACCATGCAGAGCCTGCACATGCAAGGGCTCATGGCTATGGCCACATGATGAGTTTAGCAGGGCAAATAACCCTCACAGTGGTTCCTGACCATTTCTCATTGCTGCATCATAGACTCCCGCAATGTTGTGATCCCAAAAGTAATACATGGTTCTTGTACATTTAAAATGTAAAGGAGCCAGGCATGGTGGCACACTCCTATAATCCTAGTGGCTTGGGAGGCCAACACAGGAGAATCACGAGTTCAAAGCCAGCAACAGTGAAGCACTAAGCAACTCAAGTGAGACCCTGTCTCTAAGTAAAATACAAAATAGGGCTAGGAATGTGGCTCAGTGGTTGAGTACTCCCAAGTTTAATCCCTGGTACTAAAATAAATAAATAAATATACACACACATATACTCAAGCACATTGAGAGGAGCAAGTGACTCACTGCTCAGGATTGTTGTGTTGGACTGGAGCCCTGCTGGGGATTGGGCAGAAGCAGGTGAGACCAATGGGAACCTATGTGGAACCTGGGGTAGTGGCAAGGTTGACATCCCCAAACCTTTGAAGAGTTAGCTGTTGTGGAGAGAAGGAACAGCACAAGAGTAACAGAAGCTGGGCCTGGAGCATCCCAAGAATAGGAGAAGAGATATTGAGACATTGGGAACAAAATGGCCCACTAGGTCTTGGGTACTGAATCTGTTGCAGGTGAGGACAGAGTAGGAGGCTAGGTATAATTGATCACTATGGTGTCTGGCATGTCAGAAGAGAGGGAAGAAAACAAATGGTGACCACTCGTGTTATCTCCCCCACTTCATTCATTCATTCATTCTACAAGGGCTGCCAGGTCCATCCGTGTATTGCCAAGGACCTGAGAAACTGGAGGGCTCCCTAGGGCTCTGGGCCTTCCCCAGGACTCAATGCCAGTCATGTGCCTGAGCTTCATTGGACTTCTGAGGTCTCCCATTTGGGCTTGGCTTCCATTGCCCAGGGCTCTTCAGGGCTCTGGGGTCCCAAACTCGGTAATTGCACCCAATCCTCGGCAAAAGGGTGGACCCTTTTGAGTGCTCCAGACAGCATACAAGTGCTCTGGGGACCTCAACCCCAATGCTTATGAAGGCTCTGTGAGCTGAGGGAACTAGAGGACTCCACCTAAAACTCTGAATAGTTCTGGGGCACCTCCCCTAAGATCTCTGAGGGGCTACTCCAGGCACATCCCAAAAGTTCCCAAAGATCTTGCAATTTCCCTGCAGGGTTCCTGAAAATTTCAGTGTCTCCACTCATTCCACTGCTCTCCACTTCCATAGAGATCCAGCAGATGTGGGGACACAGAAGGGGGCAGCACCTATCCATGGCCTCAGTGAGAGGCTGTGCTAGCTGCTGTCCAGTCTAAACTCTCACCATTTGCTAGCATGTGGGTGCAACTTATGGCAGTGCTGCTTGCCCAGAGAGAGATCTTACCTTCATGCTAATACCTGCTAGGCCAGGAAAGAGTCTTAGTAGTTGATGGGGGAGAGGGTGACTGGAACAGGAGGCTGAGGAAGGAGACCAGGGGGAGCAAAGGAGCAGGACAAGACCAAAATTGTGCTCCTAAGGAGGAACCTCTACCCCAGACACACAGACAAGAACAGGGGAGGCAACAGGAAAGGCAAAGATGTCCAAGGTTGGCCTAACTACCAGAAATAACAGAGCCAGAAACAAGCGAGGAAGATGCTTGCTGGGCGAGGCTGACACCAGTGTCGCCTGCATGAGGAGAGTACCAGGGGTCAGAGCCTGTGACTCCACTAAAATGAGACACTCCCCAGTGCCAAGGGAACAAAGGGAAGACAACAGCACTTCATTCTTTCATTCATTTCCACCTGGGGTGGGACTGCTCACTAGGCTCCAGTTCACTAGTCCCAAGAAGATACCACCCTAGAGGCTGGCAGGAAACTACTGGATAAAACCAGAACCCCAGCCCTGCCCTGCCACTATTCCTACTGTGATCAATGGCAGGGGTGGGGTGGGGAAGGTATCCCACACTCCAGAAGCCTCTAGAAGCTGCCCAAATGGAGAGGCCAGGGACCAGAAGAACCACGTACAGAGAGATCCATTGCCACCTAGGCGGATGAGAGGTCCTCCTCAGGAATGTCCTTCCCCCTCCAGCCCTGGTGTCCCCAGGACACTACACCTTGGAGCACCCACCTCCTGCATGGAGCCACACCAAACCTATTACCTCCTCCCAGCACCGGCACTGACCCCACCTCAAGGAGACAACCCCGCTTTGCATCCTCTCAAGCCCCAGCCTGCTGGGCCTGAGCCAAGGAACTTCCCAAGCTGAGCAGGGCTAAACCAGAACTCCCCAATCTCCCCTCCACATCACTTCTGGAGGGTAAAGACACAGGGCTAAAAGACACAGGGGAAAAGAAGAAAATGCCAAACTAGGTGGCAGGGGCCAAGGGGGTGAAATATGCCCCTGGTGACAGGAGACAGGCCAGTCCAGGCAGTGAGCTAGAAGAGGCCACCAGGGCAGGGAGGCAGGAGGGACACAGACTGGAGACCCATCCTGGCCAGGGGCCTCCCAGGGGAGGGCAGGTAGATGGGAACCCGTGTGCAGGCCCCATCCTGATTGTGAGCCAGCCACACTGAGGAAATCCAGGAGGACCCACTGGGCATGCTAGGAGGAGGCAGGCAGGGCTGAAAGGCCCAGCCACCTCAGCCAGGCCCAGCCACCTTGGGCACAGAGCCCAAGAGGTGGTGGCCCAGCCCCAGCACACCCCTTGTCTGGGCCTGCTGGCAAACAGATGCCAGGAGCAGAAGGGAGCCAGCCCAGAAGAGAGTGACCCAGGGCCCATTCTCCAGCTGTGACCAGGGCACTAGGTCTCCCTAGGGACAGGAGTGGAGGCCCCTGACTAAAGATGTCTCCAGAGGCCCTGGATACAGGTGCCAAGGGGCAAGCATGCTGCTCCCAAGGGGTCCCTGGGTTCAACCTAGAGATGGGGGCCCATGGGGACAGCTGCTGGTGACCCCACAGGTCTGGAGCACAGGCTATGATACTCTAGGGAAGCTCCTCCAGGATCCTTAAGGGGGGCAGTAGGGTGAGGAGGAGGCAGCTTTAGGCTAAGTCAGGGTGAGCTGTGTGCGTCAGGATGGGGTCTGGCTCTCCCCTCTGCACAGCAGGCTGCTAAGAGCCCGTCCCCCACCCCCTGCAAGGGTGTAGGGCAGCTGGGGCTGGGAAGATGAGGCTCCAACCAGGCCCCCTGAGACCATCCCAGGCAGAGGAATCAAGGCTTCTCCCCGTTTCTCCCCGCAGAGCCTCAAAGGATGGGAAAGCTGGCTCCATTCTCTCAGAGGCTAGAGGGATGGACAGGACAGCAAGTACACAGATGACTCCAGAGTGTGGGTGTGCACAGAGCCGACTCCAGAGTGTGCGTGCGCACAGAGCCGACTCCAGAGTGTGCGTGCGCACAGAGCCGACTCCAGAGTGTGCGTGCGCACAGAGCCGACTCCAGAGTGTGCGTGCGCACAGAGCCGACTCCAGAGTGTGCGTGCGCACAGAGCCGACTCCAGAGTGTGCGTGCGCACAGAGCCGACTCCAGAGTGTGCGTGCACACAGAGCCGAGCGTGTCCTCCTGAGGAGCCTCAGGACCCTTAGCCTTACATCTTGGCTGAGGGGCTGTCCCCATATGCCAAGAACACATCTGCAGGCTGGGGTTACAGCTTAGTGGTAGAGCGCCTGCCTAGCACATGTGAGGCACTGGGTTTGATCCTCAGCACCACATAAAAATACATTTAAAAACTTATTAAAAAGAAAAAAAAAAAAAAAAAGAACACATCCACACAAGAAATGCCCACCTTGAGGTCCAGATGTGCAAGGCAGCTGGGGAAAGCGCCAGGAGCTGTTTGCCAGGGCCCAGGTGCTGCCCAGCGGTG